GCGAGTGACGCGGCGGTCGATCGCGAGACCCTGTAGTGCATTTTGTGTTTCTGTCTTTCTAGCCGGTCGACCGCGACTGGCACGACGGTCGACCTCGATGCGGTTTTGGACCTGGGCTTGGTTTCCTGTTCTGATTGGGTTTGCTGTTTGATATAAATAGCAACCACGTTTTTTAGGTTTTCTATCGACTGATTGGGCAGCTTAAAGGTGATTTTGAGCACAGAAAAGAGATCTTTCTGAGCAATTATTTGAGAGTTTAGTTTGTGAGTTTGGATAGATTTGTTTGAGAGGTTAGTTGAATGATCTTGTAATCTCTATTTTGTACTCTCATTCTCTATAGCGAAAACTCATCCCTTCTTGCCCCGTGGACGTAGGTAATTTGTCGAACCACGTTAAACTTTTGTGTTTGAGTTGGTGTCGTTATATTTGAACTGTTTGGTCTTTCTCTCTCGGCGTTTGTGTTTGTTCCGCCGTGCACAACAAGTGGTATCAGAGCTCGGACTACGCTTGGGCTATTTGAAAGAGTAGATCACTTTGAAAGTTCGGCTAGGGCTTCGTTTGGAATTAAATGTGGGATCTTTTTGATAAAGACTCTATCTTTTTTAGTTTTTGGATCTATTCTTCGTTTGTTCCGCTTTGGTTGTTGGTGCTTTGAGGAATTATGGCCGAAGAAAAGGAGTTGTGGAGGGTACTTCAGGTATGAAGACCGTCTAAAGTTTGAATAACCACTCTATGAAGATAGACGTGGAGAAATTTAATAGCACTAACAATTTTAGACTTTGGCGATATGAAGTCTTGGATGTGCTGAACACGTAAAATTTGGAAGATACTTTGAAATTGAATGGCAAGCCAGATGATATTGATGAGAAGGTTTGGAAGAAGATTAATCGAACGGCGTGTGGTGTGATTAGGCCTTGTTTAACTCAAGATTTGAAGTATGATGTGATCAATGAGACTTCAGCTAAGAAGATTTGGAAGATACTTGAGAGCAAGTATTTGACAAAGTGTGGAGAATCGCTTGCATTTAAAGAGGAGACTTTATCGCTTCCAATTAAAGAAATGAACCTCCATTGGTGATTACACGAACCACTACACGAAGCTTCTTACGGATTTGACGAATGTAGATGTTATGATTGAAGATGAGGACAAGGCATTATTGTTGTTGAGTTCCTTACCTGACGAGGAATATGAGACTTTCGTCATTACTCTTATTAGGAAGGCATCTCTTTCGTATAGTGAGGTTACTGCTGCACATGTGAATTATCAATTTTAAAAGAAGGATAATGAGACTTCAATTGGGACAATAACGGAGACGTTGGTCGCAAGAGGGAAGAATCCAACCGAAAGAATTAGAAGTCACAGTATATAGTAGGACATCCTACAATTGAAAAAGATCAGTGTGCTTGGTGCAAGGAGACTAGTCAATGAAAGAAAGATTGTCCAAAGTTCGACGAATGGATGAAGAATAAGCAGAAGGGAAAAGGAAAGCAACCATCATCAGAAGCAAACATCGTTATATCGGATGATAATATTTCTGATACTTCTATTTATTCGCTTTTTATCAGTTCTATAGGTAGCTATTCATGGAAATCCGAGTGGATGTTGGATAGTGATGCGACCTATCATGTGTGCCCTAAAAGGGAATGGTTCTCTAGTTTTGAGAAGCTAGATAGTGATATGGTATACATGGAAAATAACCGTGCATGTCAGATCCTTGGGGTAGGAAGAATTCGTATCAAGATATTTGACGGGACTATTAGGGAGTTATGTCGTGTGAGATATGTTCCTTCCTTGAGGAAGAACTTGATCTCAATTGGAGATTTGGTTGGAGAGGGTCTGAATGTTCGTGTTAAGGACATGATTCTCGAGATCGTGGAAGACTCTTTGATTGTGATGAAGGACGTCACGAGGAATAAACTGTACTATTTGATTGGAAGCTCGGTGACAGATGGAGAGCTGGCGACTTCTGTTGATTCGACTAGACTGCGGCATTTGGGGCTTAGTCATTCCAGTATTGATTTGGAGATGGGTGCACATACCTACAATTTGAAGTCCAGTGAACACTTTGATGTGAGCAAGAAGATCGAGGTGAAGTTTGGCACCTCTATTCACCGCACAGAGGATCTTTCAGATGGAATTCACGTGAATATTTGGGGGCCTTCTGAGGAGGCATCATTGGGAGGAAATAGATGTTTAGTTTCTTTTATTGGTGGCTGTTCTAGACGTGTTTGGGTTGCAACCAAATCCCCTTTGGATAAAGTCCTAGTAGTCTCCAACAGATTGAAAAAGTATGAGATTGACAGAAAGGTGAAGGTACTTCATTTTGATTTTGGTGGGAGGTATAAGAGGGACCTGTTTCTGCATTTGAGCCGAGCTCACGGCATTTTGAGACACTTCAGTGGAAAAAAATTCTTAGGACAACGAGATGAGATGGCAGATTTGGTAAGTTATTCCTTGTTGGAGGAGGACCGGTGTTTGATGTCAAGTATTGATTCTTGTGTTGAAGCTTCGACATATTTGGATCATCTTGGACATAGGTTGTCGACTGCTGTGATTGGAGGTAAAACTCTATTGAATGTTTGGTTTGGTAGTGTCACTTTGGTTGAGGCTTCAATGAGGGAACTGATTGATTCTCAGCAGGTGGAGAGTTTTGGACAGACCTTAGATGTATCACAATGGGTGGAGAGTGATGCTACTCCATATTAGGTGGAGATTACTCCACATACTCCAGATCATACTACATCGTTTGAGATTCCAGCTAAGGTGACACAGTTATGAGATCATTTGGATTTGGATACAGATGATGAATTGGTTGATTCGAATGCAGCTGGTGGATATGATTTGGATACGACCATTGATTCACCTCAGGTGGAGGTGTTTGATTTGTTTTATTTTAGGGCCATTTAGAGAGCTATCAGCATATTTGTTGGTGAAGAGTTGAGAACTTTTCTATTTGATTGAGGGTCTTTGGAGGTCATTTGGGGAACTACGTGAAGGCTTGATTCCTTTGGCAAGATGATACGTAGGTAGTCATTTATGATGCAGCCAATTTGATGGGTAATACCGACGTTTGGAGAGTGTTCGCATTCTCATTTGGGTCTCGACTTATTGTGTATTGAGTCCGTTATTGTGATTTCGTTTCACTTCGTATTGGACACAACAAGTAGGACATTTGGTTTGGTTGGTGTCGGCTTAGTTTTGAAAAAACTTCACTAAGGTGGAGAATTGTAGAATTGGAGGCGAAGGTGACGAAGCTCAGGAAAATTAAAGCAGAAAACGTTTTGGATGATGCACGGTCGACTGCGAGTGGAGCTGCGGTCGACAGCGAGTGGAGCTGCGGTCGACAGCGAGTGGCGCGACGGTCGACCGCGAGACCCTATAGTACATTTTGTGTTTCTGTCTTTCCTGCCGGTCAACCGCGACTGGCACGACGGTCGATCGCGATGCGATTTTGGGCTTGAGCTTGGTTTTCTGTTCTGATTGAGTTTGTTGTTTGATATAAATAGCAACCACGTTTTTTAGGGTTTTCTATCGATTGATTGGGTAGCTTGAAGGTGATTTTGAGCACAGAAAAGAGAGATCTTTCTGAGCAATTGTTTGAGGGTTTAGTTTGTGAGTTTGGAGAGATTTATTTGAGAGGTTAGTTGAGTGATCTTGTAATCTCTACTTTGTACTCTTTTTCTCTATAGTAAAAACCCATCCCTTCTTGAAGGTGATTTTGAGCACAGAAAAGAGAGATCTTTCTGAGCAATTGTTTGAGGGTTTAGTTTGTGAGTTTGGAAAATTTTGTTTGAGAGGTTAGTTGAGTGATGTTGTAATCTCTACTTTGTACTCTCTTTCTCTATAGTGAAAACTCATCCCTTCTTGCCCCGTGGACGTAGATCTCTACTTTGTACTCTCTTTCTCTATAGTGAAAACTCATCCCTTCTTGCCCCGTGGACGTAGGCAATTTGCCGAACCACGTTAAACTTTTGTGTTTGAGTTGGTATCGCTATATTTGGATTGTTTGGTCTTTCTCTCTCGGCGTTTATGTTTGTTCCGCCGCGCACAACAAGTATCTTCAGCTTTAACTTTGACTTCCATGTTCTTTAGATCCATCACAATAACATTCAACTCATCAAGATGTTCTTTTAGAGGTGTACCTAGCTTCATACGAAGGAGAACAGATGTTATTCTAATAAAACTTGGTTATTAGAGACTTGCGGATACAGATTCTCTAACTTCAGCCACAAACCTGCAACTTTCTCCTCATCTGGACTTCACTCAAAATATCATCCGTAAGATACAATTGGATCGTTGTTTGTGCCTTCTCCTCTGTCCTATGGATTCCTTTTCAGTCATTGGTCATCCACTGTGGTCTGTTCTTAGAAAACTGTGTCAAAATCCCTTACAGGGAGGTTTCATGAAACAGATAATTTTTTCCTTCCTGGTATAATCTCTCACTATCTCGATTCATGCTAGTCAACTCAGAGCAAACGATTTTTTTTTTTACAAAGCGACATGAAAATGCCATAAAAGTTGCAACTTGAAAGCATTTGACTGTAACGGTGAAATACACCAAAAAGAGAAGCAGTGGCGAAGCCATTGGTTCAGGTTGGGCAAGGGCCCAACCTGAACTTTGAGAAACCTATGCTTACATTAAGCTTATGTATCTATAGCTTGACATATATTACATCTATGGCACTATGCAGTCTTTCATTTTATGAAGTGCCGCCTCACCCAAAATTTTAAATTTTGGTAAAGCTGAAGTTTTAGTGTCCACCTTAATTAAATCATACATTCAATCATAATACACTTAGTGCCCACTTCTACTTAGGGTATAAATATTTCTGTTTTACATATTTTCTCTTCTATTATAAATCAAAACGTACTTTCTCTGCACAATGAAATATTCGAGATTTAAAAGTTATGTTTCAATTTTTAGTGCCTAACCAAAATAAAGTTTCTGGCTCCGCCCATGAAGAGAATAAATAATATCAACTCAATGTCGCAGCATGTACCAGGTCAGAGCCACTGTAGAAGATGATCCCAGCAGCGGCCGAGGCGAAGTTGACGCCATGAATCATGTCCTGAATCCTGCCGCTCTGTCCCAGGAACGGCGGAACGAAAGGCAGCCCCAGGCGAAGAGCTGCAACGTGTGCACGCAAATAATTAAGAATCAAGAATAAGGAACCCCGAAAAAATGCATCCAGAATTGAAGAAAAGAAAGATTTTCCCCCCCTTACTGATCCATACTTATTACGGGAGCCTATGACGAAAATACCCACAAAAATTGGCAGTTTGATATGCTATTAATATGATGTGTAAAGGCAGTTTCTCACATGTGACCGAGTTCCATGGGCCTGAGTTTCAGTGCGGCATTTCGTCAAACAGGTGCTGGGCTTTAGAAAATCTTTGGCATTTGTTGTCGACATAGAGATTAGGGATTCGGGTCGATGAGGTGGTCGAAGACGAGCTCGGAGTGACTGAGCTTGTTTGAGGAGGAGAAGTGGGAGGAGGACAAGGGAGCTCGATTAGGAGGAGGGAGAGAGGGATTCAAGAGGCGGAGAAGGAAGGAGGCACAGATGCAGATAGGAGCAGCCAGGGCCGTACCTAGGAATTTTGAGTCCATGGCGAAATATTAGATGATGTACAACTCATAATAGATTTTATCTCGTTCTTCTTATATTTTTAGCTGCAAAATTACTAATTAAAGTTTTATATTTAATATTTTCTAACATATTATTTTCGATAGATAATATTGCTAAACCATTCAATCTATCTTGTTAACATGGTCGATCTTAAAATAAGATTTTAGTAATTTTAATTTTGAAAAACTTCTTTCAGCGGAAGCAACTGTTACGGGTATAGTCAATAATACACGATAAGCAATACAAGTATTTAGAAAAGAATCTAACCATTTCATATAGTTCAACACTTCAATTGGACTATTAATCTCTACTTTTAAAATTTGAATAGAAACAATTCAGGTTATAAATTTGAAATAGAAACAACTCACGTTATAAATTTGAATAGAAACAACTAAATATGATCAAATAAACTAAGCTTTACACTCTACTTCCGAAAACACATTTTCATGAACCCATGATCATAATCTAGACCCTAAACTACCTAAACCTCAAACCTTCAAGTTAATCAACATCATTTTCTCCGCATCATAACTAGACACTGAAATTTACATTTTCCAAACAATACAAAACACCATAAAACCAACGACGCATACATGCATTAAGATTACTTCCAAGAACCCATTTGGAACCCATTTGCAACAATCCATTATGATAATATAGACCACCTAGCTAAACCCATCACTCAAATCACCTCCAAATTATCAATACCCCTTTCCTCACCCCAAAACAAGAACGCATAACCAACCCTAACATCTGTGAATCCACAATAAACACACATATTCAATCTTTACTAAAACAGATAAAAAAAACAACGCAAAATAAATGAAGTCATAAAACAAACTAGTAAGCATGCTCGCAACCTTTCACAATGGCTTATGAGGACCATAACTACAAGTTGTGGGTGTGGATATATTTGGTGATACAAAAATGTTTTTTTGGCACCCGTGATAACCATTCATATTTTAGAGAATGAAAACCTACAATTTCCAGAAAATTTCAAAAAAAACTGGAAAGAATCATGAAACTTTAAAATTGTTGCCCCCACCTTCCCGATGACATCTTCTAACTTCAATTAGTTGTAAGTTATATTTTAATTAAAGCATATTAATAAATAACAATTAAATTATATAACTTTGATATTAATATACTTATCATGTTCCAAATATTTAGTTATTATGATACATATTATTAATATATTTAAAATATATTAATAAATAATTATAACATATTTAAAATGTTATAACTTGTTTATATTTTTAAGTAATATATTATAGTCATAAATAAGTAATATATTATAGTCATAAAATATATTTCTAACTTCCTTCAAACACTTACTCAAAATCTTTATTTATTTTTTGGCACTTTCTCATTTTTCAGTTCATGAAAATAAAACATGTACGTTCGGATGCAATGCACATGCACTGTACTACTACATGTTATATAAATTAAATAAAATGATGCTAGAAATAAAATAAAATTACCGAGGAAGTCGACGATGATCCGGCCATTGGAGAAGCGGCCAGTCGGAGTGTGGGTATCGAAGTCGCGGCCGTAGGGAGGGTGGTCGGCCCTGGCCAGCGTGGGGAGGTAGTTGTTGGTGCCGCAGTCGACGGTGGAGTCACCTATCACGAAAAGTGCAGGGGCCAAAGGAAAGCTTGGTAGTGAGTCTGTGGCTCCTTGAAAAGATCGAGGAAGCAAAGAAATGACTAGAAAGAGAAAGACAAGAGAGAGAGGGTTTCGCGCCATTTCTTTCTTTACTTTGTTTTGGATCCGTGTTTCCTTTTCTTAGTTTGCTTGTTGAGTAGTGAAGCCCACCAAAGAGATGAGTAAACTGTGTGTAGTTCATGAGAAATACGATTCGCATGTTCCTAACTACTATCTAATTACCATCAACATTTCACTACCCATGAATTGGAACCGTTGATAAGTTAGATAACAGGCACTATTACACACTGCTTGCTTGGTTGAGACATGGAAAATGAAATTTCTTCATGTAAAAAAGAAGATTATTGCAGAGTTTTATTTGCATTGCCGCCTTTTAATTAGGATCCATTCTTGACAATCCGATTGAGTATTTTTTATAACCTCCTCTGTGTTAAATATTGTAGCGTGTTTTCCTTTATTTTAGTCCCATATTGCTTAGACTACTACACTTGCTCGTGTAGAAACGGCGACGAAGTTCAGGAGAAAACAAGAAACGGCGACGAAGTTCAGGAGAAAACAAGCAGGAGGCATTTTGGAAGCTTCACGGTCGACCGCCGCACCCCGCTTCAACGGTCGACCGCCTGCAACATGACTGAGAAAAGTCTCTGGACTTTTGGCGGTCGACCGCGATGGGTTCTGCGGTCGACCGCGCCAAAACCCTGTAGACGATTTGGTCTCTGGACTTTTGGCGGTCGACCGCACGATGGGTTCGGTGGTCGACCGCGTAGCGAGTTTGTGCCTGATTTTGTTTTCTGGTCCGTTTCATTGTGAGTTGATATATAACCCTAAATACGTTTTTTAGGGTTAAGCAAGGACGTTTTGAACAGTCTTTGAGAGAGGATTGTTGCATCCAATTATGGGAGATTTGTGAGAGATTTAGAGAGCTTTGTTTTAGGGTTTTGAGTGATTTTGTAACCCTATTTTGTAGATTTAGAGAGCTTTGTTTTAGGGTTTTGAGTGATTTTGTAACCCTATTTTGTATTCTCTTCATCTCTAATAGTAAGTTTGAGTGATTTTGTAACCCTATTTTGTATTCTCTTCATCTCTAATAGTAAGAACTCCCCCCTCCTTGCTCCGTGGACGTAGGCAACTTGCCGAACCACGTAAAATTCGTTGTCTTGCTGTGATTGTGATTTGTGCTTATGTTTGGTTGTGATCTTTCTCTTTCTTGTTCGTGTGATTCGAGTTCCGCTGCGCACAACAAGTGGTATTAGAGCTTCAGGTTTGGCTTGAGGCTTGTTCGAAAGATTCGCTAAAGGATTCCTATTTAGAGAGTTAGATCGACAACATGGGAGAAGCAAGCACATCAGGTTCGTCTCTTACGAAGACAATACAAAGTCTGAACATCAATAATACGAAGATTGGTGTTCCGAAGTTCGACGGTAAGATCAATTTCAATTTGTGAAGGTGTCAGGTGATGGATGCGTTAGATGCACAGAATTTGGAGGAGACTCTTGAGTTACACGAGAAACCCGTTGATATGGAGGACAATGTTTGGAAGAAAATGAACAGTAGGGATTGTGAAGCCTTGATGGCTTCTTTTCCACTTCTTCCTCCTGTAATTTTTTGGCTTCTTGCACAAGAATTCTTGCATGTGCAAGCAATGCGCGATGTTTCTGAATCCGCTCCTGAAGAGTCGATCAGGTCCTTTTGATACGGACCCATTCATTCTTCGTTGGTTTGAAAAAGGAGGGGTTGTCCACTCGCTGTTATAGCGGTTGGCGCCTCCTGGACTTCAGATCCGCTTCATAGCAGATTCCATCAACTGGCTCCAAGGCTTTGGCTAGCTGGCGTGTGAGGCGTTGTCACCGTCTCTAACGTGCTCTCTTTGATAGAATGGGCACGTTATCAGCAGTCAATTCCTTGCTCAAGGGGTTCAGATCTGTAGATTTAGCCTTGTCGGATGTCGGTGTGGCGTTGCGAGCCACAAGTGGAGCAGTGGCGATGAGATCTTCTTCTTGGACCTTTGAAGCCGAAGTCCAGCAAGCTTTCTTGGAGTAGGCCTTCCTGCACCTGCGAGGAAAGGCGGATCTAGAGGATGAGGACAAGTACTCCTTGTACTTCTGTTGGTCGAACTCATATTCGACCTCTTCTTCAACCGGGATGAGGATCCAAGGTTGCGACACATCAGCCTTTGCAGAAAGGTTGTCGGCTCCCACTGTGATCGCCAGTTTGTTTTCGTCGAATGTAGTTTTCATTATCGAGTTCATTACAACTTTGATCGTTTTTAATGAATTCAAATAACAAAAATAAGAATTACAACTTTCTAGAAAATAAAAACAAGAACTGTTTATCAACTCTTGCTTGCGTAGGGTCTTCGTCTGTGCTGGGGATGTTGATATCCATGGACGACCGTGGGTCAGATCCGATTATCAAAAAAATTGACAAAGCTCCTACTTCATTAAGGAAGTATTCGCTTGAAGAATTAAAATCGACCAAGCGAAATCAGTATCTCTTCTCAAGATTAAGACTAAGCCTAATCTCAAGGAACGGACGGGGGGAAATACGGGTTCAGATCCTTCGAAAGCCTTCCTCTTTATACTGAAGTTCATCGGGATCTGACTTGCCTTCGCTGTAAATTCATGCTCCTTTGACTCCTCAATCCAGCAGCACCTCCCCCTCTTGATAAAATTCCCCCCCCCCCCCGCAGGGAAAGGAGGCCAGCTTGTATTATAGGGTTCTGAATGCGGGTATTTGATAAGGAATAAATGATTCGGTCATCTCAGTTAATAACTGTGTACATGTTTATGGATGATATCCAATCAAGTTTAACATTCAGGAATGAACAAATCCGGAAACAATAAAACCGTCAAAAACGCGTTTGTGGCTCGGACAGCGTAATTACGCCTTGCTGCGCCGTGGAGGTGGGGTCAGCCATGACTGATCTTGCGGGGGCGTGGGGGTCAGCGTCGGCTTACTCGCGTTGGTGAGGGTCAGCGGCGGGTCAGCTGCCGTTGTCCTGCGTTAGAGCGGGAGTTTTTGCCTTTTGCTGAACTCTTTAGTGTTTTTCCAATTTTTCGAGACTTGTATTTTTTGTCATTTTATGTATTTGATCGTCTTGTTGACTTGTACGTTTCGTTAACTTGTTTTATGCGCTCGTTAGTTTCTTTATGGCACTTGGAGCTGATCGACAAGCGCGACGAGCACTTGGAGCCGACCGACGTGCGCGAGCTGACTGAGGAGCGTGTTCGGTCACTTGGAGCTGACTGACGCGCGCGAGCTGACCGACAGGTGTGACGGTCAATTGGAGGTGGCCGGTGAGCGCACGAGACATAGTTGGTTCGCCATTCCGATTCATGCACTTGTCTGCGTCAGATAATCGGTGAGCGCACGAGACATAGTTGGTTCGCCATTCCGATTCATGCACTTGTCTGCGTCAGATAATCCTCTTAGACTCGGATAACGACGTTCGTCATATTCTCTCCGTCTCAAGTTGTGTGCAGACACCTATTGACATTTTTAGATGCCTACAGAAGGTTCCATATTCTAGTGCGGTGGGTAGCTTGATGTATGCAATGGGGTGTACGAGGCCAGATTTGTCACAGACCGTGAGCATGGTATCGAGGTACATGCACGACCTCGGGAAGAGTCATTGAGAGGTCATGAAGTGGATTCTACGGTATGTTGAAGGCACCATGGATGTTAGTTTGATTTTTCAGAAGAATGAGAAGAATGGGCAGGATTGTATTGACTACATGGATCCAAATTATGTTGGGGATCTTAACAAGCACCGGTCTACTTCAGGATATGTGTTTACATTAGCAGGAGTACCGGTTTGTTGGAGATGTACACTTTAGTCTACAGTGGCTCTCTCTACTACAGAGGTGGAGTATATGGCGGTGACTGAATCTATTAAGGAGGCTTTGTGGTTCATTGGATTATTGGAGGACTTGAGAATTACATAGGAGACCATTCGGGTATATTGTGATAGCATGTTGGCTATCTATTTGACAAAAAATTAGGTTTATCATGCACGTACGAAGCATATTGATGTCAGATTCCACTTTGTTCGTGATGTCTTAGATGATGGAGATGTCATTTGGAAAAGATCCACACGAAGGACAACCCTGCTGATATATTAACCAAAGTTGTTTTAGGTATGAAGTTTGGTCATTGTTTGAAGCTATTGAATATTCTTCAATGTTGAGGGCCTTTGGACGCCATTTGGGTGAACTACATTCGGCTTGATTCCTTAGGCAAGATGATACGTAGGTAGTCTTTTCGATGCAGCCAGTTGGATTAGTTGATTTTCGATGGGGCAGGATTGTTTGAACTCTCATTTTAGTTCCTGACTTGTTGTGGATTGAATCTGTTGTCATGGATTGATTCCATGGCGTCCTGGATGCAACAAGTGGAACGTTTGATTAGTATTGGTGTCGGCTCAGCTTTTTTTGATAAAACGTTTACCAGGGTGAAGAATTATAGAAACAGCGATGAAGTTCAGGAGAAAACAAGCAGGAGGCATTTTGGAAGCTTCACGGTCGACCGCACATGACGCGACGGTCGACCGCAAACGTGCACATGACAGGGTTGGTCTCTGGACTTTTGACGGTCAACCGAGATGGGTCCTGCGGTCGATCGCGCCAAAACCCTGTAGGCGATTCGCTCTCTGGACTTTTGGTGGTCGACCGCACGATGGGTTCGGTGGTCGACCGCGTAGAAGGTTTGGGCCTGATTCTGTTTTCTGATCAGTTTCATTGTGAGTTGATATATAACCCTAAACACATTTTTTAGAGTTAAGTAATGACGTTTTGAGCAGTATTTGAGAGAGGATTGTTGCATCCAATTGTGGGAGATTTGTGAGAGATTTAGAGATCTTCGTTTTAGGGTTTTGAGTGATTTTGTAACCCTATTTTGTATTCTCTTTATCTCTAATAGTAAGAACTCCCCCCTCCTTTCCCCATGGACGTAGGAAACTTATCGAACCACGTAAAATTCGTTGTCTTGCTGTGATTATGATTTGTGCATGTGTTTGGTTGTGATCTTTCTCGTTCTTGTTCGTGTGATTCGAGTTCCGTTGCGTACAACATTGTACAAATAAACACCTCAATGCAACAAATAAAATTATCAAGTTCTCTTTATAGTTAACAT